TAATCTGTTAGCTGCTATTGTTTACTATATGGCACCAGCTGATTGGTCTCGGTTGCATCAGCAGCCAATGAGATTGCATTGCTCAACATTTATGGTTCATTGTTCGCTGTAAGCTCATCCTGCAGCCTCAGAGTTAGCCTTCCCCAGCTCCACCTGTCCAGATCTGCTACGGGTAATTTCATGTATGCTATTTGCATGGCTACATGCTCACAGCAGCACAGCTGTGCAAACTATCCCAAGAGATGTCATGATACACTATAGAGTTCCCCTCCCTGATTCTATCACACCATATCAGGCCCATTTGTGAAGAGATTTACTGATAGCACTGTAGGACAAATAAATGCAAGCTCAGTCAGTCCACCACATTTGATTTTGTGGAGTCCTTGAGGAGCGTAGTTTGACACACAGGAAGGGAAGGGGACCTGAGGAGATTGGGGTGAATACACCACTTCAGAGTATTTTTTTATGAAACACAGCTGTTCTCTGACTCAACACAAGATTATGCCCACAATTACCATTACACAGTGTCAGTATGTTTGTGTCTGTAGACACATTTGTGTGAGATGTTTCTCTGTTGGGATGTCAGTCAGAGTAGTTGGCTGTATCTTAATCACACTAATGGGTTAAATCTCCTTGTTTAGTCATAACATCGGCAGGAATCTTAGCCTTAGATGGAACGAAGTCCAGGACCATGAAATGAAAATGGACAAAAATTTAAGGAAGATTAGAGGGATAGTTCACCTTTGAAAAATGTCTTTGTTTCTTCTATGACTTTTATTATATGGACACAAGCAAAGTCAATGGTGGCTGGTTACTAACATAATCTTTGGGAACTTATTTCAATTTAATTAATTTCCTAAAAATGTCAGTTCCTAAATGAAGTGCATATGCAAGCACTTCCAGGCCATTATTTTTTTTTTTATTGGTTGTGAGTTGATCCTAAATCAGTGTTGGCTATTTTTGTTACCACTACGCCAATATATTGTAATCCAAGAAGAACCAGAAGCAGCTGGACGACTACATGCTAAATTTAAGCCAGTGAGTGTTGCTGTATGCAATAAATCTCTGGAGAAAGTTATTGATGGACTTGCTGTTTTTACATGTTTATGTTGAGCCAACAGTCCCAAACACAGCGAGGAGTACGAGAAAAAGATTTAGATTCCAGTCCGAGTGAAACAGAAGTCTGAAAAAGAGCAGCCGTGTCCAGACACACAGTTTCTGAGTGACCTGTGGAAAAGACTCTCACCCCTTTGTTTATAATACTGGGTGGCAAATGAGTGACGAAATTCGTCAGGAAAAAACACAAATTTCAGGGTCCTGCCAGACTAAATAATTAGCCATGATCAAACCTTCACACAAGCAGTGTTGGGTGTAACTAATTACTAAGTAATTAGTTACTGTAATTTAACTACTTTTCCCTTGAAAATGTAAAGTAAGGGATTACTCTTCATTTATCAGTAATTTAATTACAGTTACTTCTGATGTAATTGAGGTAAATACTGTGTATAGATCAATCCGATCTCATAGCGATTCGTATGCATTTTATGAGGTGTCTAAATTGTACGACCTGAACAAATTCATATGAATTATTGTAAAATATGTGTGAAAGTGTGAAATGTCATGAGATCCGACAACAAGGGTTTAACGTCAAAATGTATTGCCTGATGTTAAAAGGTTTGTTTTTATAATGTAACCTTCTCCACCTTTTAAGTTTAAGAATAATTGCAATTTTATAGTATTTATTTGAAAGAATTAAAAGATTTATGTCTACCCTTGTATTATTCAGCTGGTTGAGATTGATATGGGATTTTGAAAGTAATTAGTAATTAAAAGTAATTAAATACTTTTAGAGAGAGTAATTAGTACATGAATCTAATTACACTGTTGAAGAGGTAATTAGTAACTAGTAATTAATTACTTTTTTAGAGTAACTTACCCAACACTGCACACAAGTCAGTGATGCAATGAAGTCATGAATGAAATGCCGATTCACTCAGAAGTTAGGTTAAAATAAACTATTTATAAAAGATTTGCTCTTCTGAATGATTTATAATAATAATTTCAGAACAGTTGATAACTGAAATGCAAGATAGTGCCAGTTGCGTCTGGAAACAGAGAGATGAAAGTAGCGCCAGTTTCAGTTACCTCACTGCAAAAAAAAATTAAAAAAATCATGATTTGTTATCATAACATTTTTTCTTCTGTCAAATCAACTTAGATAAATCATGTGGTTCAGATAACATAATATTTTGAGTTTCTGATTATTAAATCAATCTCCTTCATTGTATTAACTCAATTTTTCAATTTCAATGAACTTAAAGTTTTAAGGCAACCAGGTTACTTCATTTTTTTAAGTTAAACCAACAATATTTTTTATAGTGCTGGATGAGCGGACTGATACACAGTCATTAATGACAGTAGAGAAAGTACATAAAACGAAGAGTTCTGAAAAATCAATTCAAGCAAAATTCACATATACCTATGGATATTAAAAAGGTTCAGAGTGGTGGCAGCACAGTTTTATCAAGAATTAACAGAGATGAGTGTACAAAAGAAACATGAGGAAGATGGAGGGGCTATTTGAGGAAAAAAAAACGAGAAGTTAAGCGGAGAACACAATCAGCCTTAAAGTTTGAAATGTTGCAGACAGAATCAAATAAGCAGACAGCTGAACGCACCAGGCAGAATGAGGGAAAGCAATTAGTGAGTCTCAAGTAAGAAAAGCTCCCAGAAGAGCTCAGCTAAATTCCTACAGCACACATCCCTGGGGTTTGAACTGATTTAACAAGCCCATGTGAGCGCTTATCTGCAAACACAAAATATAGTAAGAATTGAAATAGTTTGGTAACTTTTAAATGAAAGTGGAGTATCTGGCATCCTCCAAAACTATTTGAACCATTCATTAAACTAAGACCATTTTAATCGTAGTTACACTTCAACTATGAGAGACAAAATGAAAAAACAAATTCAGAAAATCACATTGTATGATTTTTAAAGAATTTATTTGTAAATTATGGTCTTAATAACTAGTTTACGTTTTACTGGGGCCCCACTGGAAGTTTGCCATGGCCCCATAATGGGTCCCAGCCCCCTGATTGAGAACAACTGGTATATATAATATAATGGCTATACGTACATTCAAATTAGTATAGGTTCTGAGCCAACAAGCTCAGTGAATAATTTTAAAACAAGATCTATCACACAGCACACAGTCTTATAAACAAACTATTAAAAGCCCACAGTACTGTTTGTTCTGACCACAGTATCTTGACTCAGATGGTTTCATTAAATGAAGACACAAAAATGGAAAAAGTTCAGCTTTGCTTCAGTAAACATGGGTGGAGGGAATCATCATAGCTGGTCTTTTTTCAGTTTATGTGAATTCCAGTGGTGAAAGAGATTAGCATGCTCTTATCATGTTCTTCCTCTCACTGCTTGTCTAACATGTTATTACTAGGCTACCTGTGTTTTAAAATCCATTATCTTGAGAACTGTATCACAGTAATGAAAGGCTTGCCAGGGCATCTCTCCACATATTTGAGGCATGTTACACGCTTTCCTGCATTTGAACCAGACAGATTGCTCACACCTTATAAAAACATTTACAGGACCAGCCCACATCAGTTTGTACCAGCACTGTACAATTTCGAATGTCATGCCTTGGATTACCACTAGATCAACGAACGACATCAAAGCTGGGATTTCTTCTGCACAGGAATTCAACCCTTCATTCACCCTCGTTTTTTCGCAGTCTCCAGAAAAAGCAGCATTTGCAAATGAAAATTCTGTTACCATTGCCTCACCCTCGTGTCGTTCCCAACCATAATAACTTGTTTTTTTTTTTATATAGAATACAATTAACATCATATTTTGAGAATGTCTTCCTCACCTTTTCCTCTTTGTCTCCATCTCTGTTCGAAATCTGCAATTGCAGTCATTCGCGGAATTATCAACTTTATGTGAGTTGTACTTCGACATGGCACAGCGCGGATGAACACAATATTTGAGGAGAGTGTGCAGCAGTCTGTCAGCCACCGTGCCGGATACTGGCATTCAGAATTACAGATTATTCTTTTAGGAAGTATGACCAAAAAAAATAATTTGTCATCTAACAAGTAAGTAACATCCACTTTTGTTCTGGTTCTGACATTGCAGTTAAACGTGCTGATTAAAATTAACAATCGCTTATCATATCACGTAAAACCGTGCAAGTTATACTTTGTTCTCAAATTGTTCTCTCTCTCTCTCTCTCTCTCTCTCTCTCTCTCTCTCTCTCTCTCTCTCTCTCTCTCTCTCTCTCTCTCTCTCTCTCTCTCTTTTTTTTTTGGTAGTCACTCGTCTTTTGCATTTCACAAGACTTTTGCATTTTACAGCGGGTGAATCTGTTGTCACTGGCGATTGTCGTTTGAACCTTTCTGAATCCACCATCAAATTGAAAAGTTTGATATTATCAAGTGTTGTGAGAAAAGGCTATAAATCTCCACCTCCAGCATCCTCACATGCAATATCCTAGCCGAGACTCTTGCATACAGATGTGATTGTGACGTAATGACTCAATATAGTCTGCTTTTTTTTTTTTTTGACCAATATAGTCTACTAGCCGAGACTCTTCTTTAGATGTGACGTAATGACGCAAAGACATGCTTGAATTTCCCGCAGATATCCATCAGTACCACTGAACAACCTTACCGCTTTGAATCGAGCTAAGGCAAAAAAAGAGTGTTGAACACTGGCTGGTACTTTTTCAAAAATGTAATTTGGATCGTTTTTAATGGTTTTAAATGCTTTAATGCTGATATTAGAAAAGAAAGTTACATGTATCGTGCAAAAGAACAGTCTTTCCAGCCATTTCTCTGCATCCATATCCTTTAGTGCTGTATGGTATGGACAAACAACAATGTCTTACTGACTCCATCTAGTGGTGTAGCATAAAAAGACATCAAGTGAAGAGAAAATGGCTGAAACAAGTTTGTCACAGAAAAGAAAATTCACAGCAGGTGTCTGAGACAGTAAAGAGTTTTATTTGTTTATATTAAATCAAAGGAAAGCACTATAACATACTTCACAAACCAAACGCCATGTGGTGTAGTACAGTGGTTTTCAATTCGGGCCCTGGGAACCCACAGTACTGCACATTTTGTTTGTCTCTCATAGAGCTCTGATAATGAGCTAATGATCTGAATCAGATGTGTTAAATAAGGAAGACACAAAATGTACAGGGCTCTGGGTCCCCAGGACCAGGACTGGAAACCACTGCTATAATAAATCGGTAATGTCAGAAAAAGAAAGATTTCAATATGGCATATTACAAAAAAAAAAAAAAAAGGAAGTAACACTAGTGGACAAGAAAATATTTTTTAAATAATATAACTGTACATTTTTAAAAAGGTGACAAAAAAAGACAACAAAAAGCCTTCTATAAACAGAATATCTTGTTATGGAGACTATAAAAAAAAGCCAAAAAACACCTTTTTTGACATTAGAGCACAGGGCCTGGAAATGGGAAAAAATTATATATATATGAAAGTATCACAGTACACTCAGAGGGACAGCAAGTGGTCAAGAGCAAGAATAAGGCAGGAGAAGACAAGAACTTCTCCCAGAGAGAGAGAGAGATAGAGAGAGAGATGGGAATAGACTCTTGTGTCATCTGGGGCTGAGACAAACCATCAGACCCAATGAAAACCACAGAAGAATGTATCACTCCCATCTCTTATAATCTGATGCCACTGTTAATATTTATATAAAAAAAATAAGAAAATAAAAGTTGACTGGGAAGATGACAGAATGAGAGAGACGATTAAAAGATATTAGTTATATAGAGACTTTTTTTCAGCCCAGAGTGTCTGCATCACCCATAATCAAGTTCTAGATGCTTATAATACATCTAAAAGAACAATATTATATAATAAAAAAGAAACTGCAGTTGCAGGGGGTGAAAGCCAAATCTTGTTTTGCCTTTTTGTACATGGGGGACCAGATTTATCAATACTAAATTATGGCATTCTTAAAGGTGAGGTCACACTTATGTTGTTTGTAATTTTTGGGCTGTCGAAATCCAGTCATTTAATTTCAATAGGAATTTAAGCGATTTGGAATTTCACGAGAGCCCGAAAGACCCCAATGCAGATCTTGCAACGGGCTCAAGTTAGTCACACGGATTCACCGCGTTCAGAAAGCTGCTAGATTTAAAAGTGTTAGGTGTGCTTCATACATCTCCACACTACTGATAATAGACAATAGACCTTTTTGCCCGCCAAACTAAGCAAACTCACTGCACCTTTAATCTCTGCTCGTGTCAATCGTCCTCTCTTTTTGCCTACTTGGACCACAATGAACAATGCACAAAAAAAAAAAAAAAAAAAAGGAATAATTTTAGCCAAGACTACCTTGTTGGATTTGACCAACAAGATGGTTTTGACCAAAACTCTAAAATGACCTTGATGAATGCAGAAATACACACCAAAAGCAAAACAAAACAAAAAAACAATTGTGGACATGGCACACACAGATAACGTTGCTATTGCTTTCTATTACCAACTCTGTAACTGGAATAGAAAGCTACACAGATAACAAAACAGATAGAAGAGTGCGTTTCAACTTACCGGATCTTTGCTATAAAAGTTTCTCAGGGAACATTTTGCCCGGATCTGGCAGTCAAGAGGCAGGAGACCTCACGATATTGGTGAAAAAACACATTCCTGAGCTATATTTCTTCATTTTAAAATATTTGGTCATTTGAATCTAGCCATTCACAAAATATACTGCATTCATTTCAAAGTTCTCACATGCATAACATGCCCTCTTAACAGTGCATCAAGCAGATATCTTCGCGTCATTGGAAATAACATCTTCGGCAAAAAAAACAAAAACACCAGATTTGCTGGTGTGACCGAAAGATCAATTTTGTTCAGATCAGTGCAAACTTAAACTCGAGCAATAACAATGATACATGTGTCCCACGTCCACAAATCACACCTTTTAAAGACGTTTTAAAGTTCCAAAGTGTCTTTTTTCCCGTAAAAAAAAAAACAAAAAAAAACCTCACAAGGATCAGAGCTGCAGAGAGAGGGCCCATGCTGAACAACGGTAAAAAACACCATCACAACAAACGTTCACTAAAGAAGACATCCACAACAAAAGTTCAAAAGGGAGAGAACATAAACAAGTACAAATACAACTGACATATTAGAAGCCGCATTACAAGTCTGTATAAAATCTGAAATAAGCACAAAGATATAGTAAATATACACATAAAATAGTTCATTTTTGTGGTCTAGATTGTTCCAGCCATCTGAGACAGTCCTGTGCTAAATTTCTGCATAGCCAAAGCTTCTAGCCAACTATGGACTGGATCAACGTCAGCGAAATACAAAGTTTTTTTCTTTTAGATTTATACCAAAATCATAAAAATTTCAGCGCCTACTCACAATTCGAAGTTCTTAAACTTAATCTTTGTAAACAGTTTGCCCTTTTTTCTGTTTCAAAAATACATTCTAGTCAGAAAATCGTGAGGCATATATGTGGCAAAGCTCTCTTTCATAGTTTTTTTTTTTCTTTTTATACAAAAAAATATGCAAAATAATGCTCTATACACATCATCTAGACTCTTCCGTCCTCTTTTTCTAGTATGCGACTGTGCAGGAGGAGATCTCATGAATTCTCGTCTTCTACCATTTGAATGATGGGGACTGGCCACATTATGAAGGACGGACTACGTTTTGACAGCCTGAAGCATGTACAAGTTGCTTTGGCTCACAGACCAGCAAGGTGATTGGTCAGCGAACCTAACGCACCGCTAGCTTAGCCAGTGACCCCAGAAACTGTTGGTTAGTTAAGATGTGTCTGCTCAGAAGCCCGAGCCAGACGATTCAATAGAGCGGCTGACACCAGGCGCGTTCTAGTCCTGGTATTGAAACAAAGGTTGGGTGGTGTTACGAGGGGAGAGGGGGGGGGGGCTCAACCCATCCTGCTGGTGTCTCGTATCACAGCATTTGGTGCATCAATATGGGCTGGTATTTGGCCGGCTGTCGACTCCTTCTGTTCCATAACACGTCACATTGTCGTCTTCACATTCAAGACCGTCACATCCGTTCGCTGCTATCGAAATGTCATTGAAAGCTGGTGTGACAGGATAACATTAAAAAGCACTGTGTAAAACAAGCACATTCAATTTGTTTTGGTTGCATGGCTTCGAATTAGACCACCAATGCAACGGCCCGAACCAGCCATCGGTTTGGCATTGCTATGGCTTCGGTGTTGATTGTCACTCGGCACTAGGAGTAGACACACGGCAGGTTCATGTGTTTAAGCATGCGTGTTTGTTTCATCGTCTTTACAGGTCAAAGCAACTGTGAAGCGTCCAGATTGGTTTCACACATCTGTTGAGTGATGAGCGTTGTCTCGGGAGACAGATGGAGCATGCCGAGCAATGGCGGCCACTGAGAGACAGCGTCTGGGTGACTCATGCGAACTTGATGATTCGTTTCATATCAACGTGTAGTGTTTATGCATGCGCTTTGTGTTTAAGAAAATGTAAAAAAGATATTTTTTTTTTATATGTTTGTAGAAATCTGAGTGCTATAGGTTCTGTGCTTTAGTCATCATGTCCATGGACTTGTATCTATGTATACATGCAGGATTTGGCTCTTTAAAGTCTGTCGCTTCGAAAGCTGTCCTCTACTGAGGGGTCAGGGAGGACCATATCAGGGTCACTGAGCATGCTCAGTCCATCCAGACTGAGCGGCTCGATACGAAGTTCATCCTCCAGTGGAAAAACTCCCTCTGAGTCCAAACACTCTGGCACTGCAGACAACACACTGCTGATGTCCTTAGATAGGTTGGGATTGGAGTCGTCTGAGAGAGAGTAGAATCGTGAGTGAATATAGGAGATGTTAAAGAACAGATTTGCAAAACCTATTTTTTTTCCAGTTGATCACCTGACAGGCTAGTCCACTAATCAGTCTTATGAAATTTCAGAATAATCTAACTGGTTTTGGGTTTGCGTGGGCCCAATCAGACACGTTTCTTCTGGGGCGTTTACATAAGACCTTCTTTTGGTACACAATATAGAAGTCTCAAGACACTATTTTTAACTTCACATACCATTAAGGCTCAAACACTAGTGTCGGGACACTCAAAACAAATGCAGTGAGACACCTTTTTTCCATACACTACCACATAAAAGTTTGGGGTCTGTAAGATTTTGTTGTTAAAGCCATTCATATTCAGCAAAGACAAAAAAAAATGTATATTGTAGCAAAATATATATTTCAAATAAATTCTGTTCTGTTGAACTTTCTATTCAGAATCCAAAAAAATAAATAAAATAAAAGTCAGTTTCCACAAAAATATTAAACAGCACAACCATTTTCCAAATGATATATGAATAAAAAAAACATGTCTTGAGCATCAAATCAGTGATTTCTGAAGGATCATGTGACACTGAAGCTTGCTGATCACAGTAATAAATCACATTTTAAAATATATTCAAATTCAATTTTTAATTGTAATAATATTATTTCACAGTAATATTTATTTTACTGTATTTTAATCAAATAAAATTGCCTTGGTGAGGTTAAGACTTCTTTCAAAAAAATTAAATAAAACATACCCCAAACTTTTGAATGGTATACCTATGAAATGCTTTTATTATTTTTATTATATATATATATATATATATATAAACTAAATAGCTGTTGGATGACTAAGTGATAATCAACTAGGATATTTTTTGACTTGACTGTGACATTTCCTTGCTATTTCCATTTCCCTTTTATTGCCAGTTACATAAAAAAAAAAACGTAAAACTTATTTTTTGAATCAGAGCTTGTACCTGTAAGGATAATGTTGGGCACTCCTCCTCCACAATTAGAGTAAAGCATGTTGTGCCTCATCTGATGGTGGTCCTGCAGGTTGCCATGGCTACCACCCAAGCCCATGAGGGCCGCCTGGGAGCAGTAGAGGTTGGAGGAAGGGTCAAATCCTCCGGCCACTGAGCTCATGACATTTTCCAACATGTTATACTGATCCTGCGGTTTAAACACATGCGGCATGTTTGTTAGTGTTTTTAAGACAAAAGATGGGCAACTTAGGAACCAGAGTGCACTGCAGAATCTTATACGTTTGTTTACCTGATAGGATGAACACTTGGACTGACGTCCGGAGAACTGCAGCTCCATAAAGGGATCGTTAAAGAATGCTGCCATGTTGTTGTGCTGCACGCAAACAGAAGCAAGAGGAAGTTATAAACATGTTCACACTATATACAGCCATGGTCAGAATTATTGGCATCCTTGGAAAATATGAAATTAAATCTACATTGTTAATCTTTTATTTAGAAAATTCACAAATTCACCTTTCATTCAAGTAAATTAATAGAAAATGGGGGAGGGGTCTCTTTATGAAATAAATGTTTTTCTCCAAAACACTTTACACAATTAAATGGCTTTAATTCTACCCTCAACTTCATTTTGCCAAGATAACAGCTCTGAGTTTTCTGCTATAATGCCTGATGAGTTTGGAGAACACCTGACAAGAGATCAGAGACCATTCCTCCATACAGAATCTCCCCAGATCCTTCAGATTCCCAGATCCATGTTGGTGCCTCTCCTCTGTACTTCAGCCCACTCATTTTATATAGGGTTCAGGGCAGGGTCTGGGACAGTCATGGTGGAAGATTCATTTTATGCACAGTGACACATTTCTGTGTTGATTTTGAAGTTTGTTTTGGATCGTTTTCCTGATGGCCGATTATAAGGTTTCTAGCAGGAGCCGTCAAGTTGTGATTTTTTTATCTGTTGGTATTTGCTAGAATCCATGATACCCTGTATCTGAACAAGATGTCCAGGACTTTCAGTAACAAAAAGGCCCACAACAACTAAAGATCCAGCACTATATTTAACCGTGGGCATGGGGTACATTTTGTCCCTGTGTGCACCAAACCCATCTATTTGGGTTTGTTGCCAAAAAGTTGTTTTTAGTTTCATCTGACCATTGAATCCGGTCCACTTTGAAGTTCCAGTCGTGTCTGACAGCTAAATATGCTGCAGTTGAGAGAGAAGGATTTTTCTTGAAACCTCCCAAACAACATGTGGGGATGTAGGTTGTTTATATATATATATATATATATATATATATATATATATTATTTAGGCTTTCTGACCTCAAGACTGAAGTAATCTCTGCAATTCTCCATCTGTAATCTTTGGAGAGTTTTTGGCCACTCAAACTCTCTTCAACGTGCATTAAGATGATATAGACACATGTCCTCTTCCAGACAGATTCGTAACATCTTTAGTTGATTATAACTTCTTACTTATTGCCCTGATGGTTAAAATGTTTTTTTTTTTTAAATTCTTTAGCTATTTTCTTCCAGCCAGTTTCTATTTTGTGAAGCTCAACAATCTTTTGCTGCACATCAGAACTATATTCTTTGGTTTTACTCATTGTGATGGATGATTAAGGGGATTTGGCCTTTGTGTTTCCTCATATTTAAACTTCTATGAAACAAAAAGTCATGACTGGACAAGTTCATGTTCCTAGTCACCCTGGTGTGTTTAAAAATATAAATTAGAAAGGGAATATACTTAAGAGAAGAATTTCTAGGGGTGGCAATAATTGTCGCCAAGGTGTTTTGGAGAAAAATATTTATTTCATAATGTAATTTCCCCCCCACTTTCAATTGTTTCACTTCAAATGGAAGGTTAGATTTTTTTTAAAAATATAAGCAACGCACATTTTTTCACCTCCTTCTTTGACTATATTTACTAAGGGTGCCAATAATTCTGACCAGAGGCCTATACCATGATGGTAGTTGAACACTAAGGGTTACAGCATTAGTTGACAAAAACAAACCAATTTAATCGGGCTGTGTTGGTACAATGATGCTGATCATAAACTTTCTCTGTTAACTCAGGCTTTCACCTGAGTTCATGGAGTGCGTACACATGAAAGTGTGACATTAGTAGCGAACAGCCAATCGCATGCCTTGAGACTCAGAAACTGTGATTCACCTCACAGTGGATCAGCAATATTCTTTTCTCTCTTCTGCCAAAGATCAATGGATTGAAGAATATGAATTACATAAATGCATTTGCACAGCAAAAAGAAAATATCTTGCCATAGCGCAAGTGAAAGTTGTGAAGTTAGTTAATATAGTTGCTAATATATAGGTATACAGAGACTCAGACATGCAAGCTCACATGTAATCATTTTTAAAACCTTATCTACCGATTCCAAATCTTATTTATATTACATATTATCTGTATATGTTCATTTAAACTAAATGTTTAACAAAATAAATAATGGATTAGGGGTTATAATTAGCCTGGATGCCAGCCCGAACTCCGCCCACAATATTTTTTGGTCGGGAAGTTTGGTCTGGACTCGATCCATTGAGGAGTAATTATGATCAGGCAAAAAATGAACGGGCCAATCAAATTGCCAGGGCGGGCTTTATACGATGATGGACAGATGATCTGCAGGAACGTAATCATCACGTTATCGAAGAGCGCTTGTCAAAGATGATTGCAGCTGGAGAATTGAGATGTATAGATTCCGCTGTCACCTCTTTTGTAAAAAAAAAAAAAAAAATCGACAGCGCATTCATTTTAATAGACAAACAGAGAACTGCAATCAAGGCATTTGTCGATCGGAAAGATATTTTTGGAGTCCTTCCTACATGATTCGGGAAAAGTGTAACTTATCAGCTGGCTCTGACGGTCGTTAAGAAGATGGGACATGATGAAAAGCCTGTGGTCGTTGTGGTTTCTCCTTTGGTGGCACTCATGGAGAAGTGAGTAAAAGAAGCAACACTCGCTATTTAACTTCTAAAATAAATAAAGTAGGGTACGTTCTGTATTTGAAAACTGCGCTATGCAAAGGAGTTGACTTATGCGTTGCTCTGATTGGTTGTAGGTCTACCGACTATCCAATTGAGTGCAGAGGTTTTTTTTTGTCCTGGTTCGGTTACGACACACCTCATAAAGCCCAATGGAGGAGTTTCAGACTCATATTCTTTCTTGAATATGAGTATGACGAAGTCAGGCTAGGTTATAATAATGATTTAAATAAAATATAAATCACATAAAACAACTATATTAAATAATCATTTCTAAAAGCCAGAATTTTTTTACTTAAAAATCTTTTAGTATGTAGTGAACTTTAATTTGGAGCAAGAGTAAACGGGGATTGACTTTTTTTTTTTGCATCAGACGTGTCCCCATGCTCACAGATGATTGGTCCAATTTCTGTTTGAGATCTCTTACCTAGAACATTGAAACTATGTTCTAGGTAAGAGATCAAGCGCAAAGAGATTCAAGAGATTAGGTAAGAGATTTAAGCGTAAACCGCTGCAAACTAGAAACAGAAACTTGCAACGGAGCAGGTTAGCTGTGGAGAGTTACTATGGTGATGAACAAATCTAAAATCTGAGCCACTTTCATGGTGGCTAAAACCCAAGATTGGCGCAAACTAAACTGAAACATAGCTGGCTATCACGGTATAGGCCCCCAGGGACTGTATATCTCATATTCCAATGACATTATTTACATTGTATAGTCCTGGAAATAGTGCCAAGTGTTTCTACAGTCTTGGCGGATCCTAATATGTTTCAGTGTTTTCCTGTTCTGCCAAAAATACCCAGCCTGTGAAACAGCTGAACATTAGCCTCTCCCCTCAGAGCCCTGTCTCTATTAACAGCTGATTTCAATTGGAACTCACAGCGCTGGAATTAAAGTCGAGCGGGACGTTCTGCAGCGGGGACACAGGCTGGTGCTGTTGGTGCTGTTGCTGCTGCTGTTGGCCACCTGTTTGTCGCTGCTGCACCCCTGGATGCTGGGAGCTCTGCTGAATAGACTGATGGGACTGGGAAGGCTGTTGCTGCTGCTGCTGGGTTTGCTGGTAATGGGGGTAGGGAGGGGGCGGTTCCATTGGTAAGTTACTGGTGTCCAAGGCAACCCCCTAAAGAGAACAGGGAAGTTATAAAAATCATTTGACTGGGCTACGGTATGCATCAGAAACACTCTGTTCTTTTGCAAAAACGAACAATAAACCAGCTGCAATATTTCTAAACACAGCGCTACACAAAATAAAGTAAAGAAATATATATTTTGTTAAACATGAGAGCAACGGCAGTGAGATCTACAGATGACAACTGGTTTTATAGTCTGTTCTGCACACAAAAATCACACAAAACACAAATATCCCCCTGCTATCCCCCCACCCCTTTTTTTAATAACAAAACACCTGATTACACCTGGTCATTTTATGTGTTTTCTCTGATCTGATAGCCATCCAATTGTGAAAAGACCAGGTGTAAATACCCTCCAAAACACTATCGAGACTGGATTTAAATCCGATCACTCAAACGACTTTAAGAGGTGGTTTGAGACGCATTTTAAATGAAACTGGACAAGTGTAAATGCATCTGGTTGTTGAAACCACACATGTAAATTTGACTTCTTCCAAGATGGTACAAAAAAATGTGTAAGAGCGTGTTATTACCGGCTCCTGGTAGCCAGATATGACAGCGCTACTGCAGCCATTGCCACAGAAATGGCCCGTCACAGATGAGTAGCTGAGTATCTCTTCAAGCGCAAACTGCTGCAAATGAAACTCAAAGTTTGCCGTCACACACTCCTGAAGCTCAACACACAATCATCTTCATTAATAGTAGAGTGACTAAATGATCTTTCAAGTTCTGATGCAGCTCTCTCTATTGTTGTAGTCTTTGACTTTGAAATTAACTGATAATAAAATCATGCTCATACATGTTGCTTTCGCTGACGTCAACTCCACTAAGAAGATATATTTGTATGGCCAAGGAAATGTCTTAATAACTAGGATAGCTATTCGATCAAAGAACGCACATGAAGTGACCAGGTGTAAACAGGGCCCTTAAATGCAGCCTTGGAGAGCCTAAGAGACTTCTTTTTAAAAAAAACAACAACAACAACCAAATGGTAGTGTATATTTGTATAACTGCTCTATGGATACCAACTCAAGTAAACTTTAGTTCGCATTTCTTGTGCAAACTCATAACAATGAGTACAATTATTATAAATTATAAACTACCGTGAAAGAGTACAGAAAGTCTAGTTAAAAGATTCAATAAAAATAACCAGTTTAAAAGAGTTAAAAAGAAAGATAAGAAAAGAAATCTATACTTTTACAGAGCCCAAGGTACAACAGAAAAACCAGCAATAGGGTTTGGAACGACATGCAGATGAGTATATAATGAATTCGAATCATAACTATGAGCTCTAAGCCGTTTGTAATTACCACAGTTTGTAACAGAGAATCTGGTTTTGAATTCAAATGGCTGCGCCACAAGGTCCAGATCAATTTGATAGAGCACACAGTGGATCCATTTGAATTCAACACAGAAATCTGTTACAATGCCTTGCAGACAAACTGATCAGTAGGACGCTATTCAAAGACTCACAGTAAACAAACCATTGCTATCCATTGCTATCCACTCATGCCGTGCAGATAATTGGTCTGTGCTTCATGGTTCATTTGTTAGTGCTGTATCGCCACACATCTAAGTATTTGCCCTTCAGCAGAAAATGGCAGTGCAAGATTAAAACGTTTTTTTTTAAGTCGCACACGTGAAGTCTAACAAGATGCAGTCTGGAGCCCTGTACAGTTTAATACAAGAAGTCTGATCTTTTGGATGAATATTGACTAAAAACAGCACTGCAGAATGTGAGATGTTATGTGAAGAGTTTAATGAGCACCGTCTCACCTGTGTGATCGGAGAGAGCGAGGGCGACATTGTCGGGGAGAGCTGCTTACTCAGGCTTCGTCTCTGATCACCCCCCGGAGAGAGGGTCAGAGGACTAATGGGTGCTGGCCGCCTCCTGGGTGAACTCGCCATGCCCGTCGGAGGAGGGTTGGACAGCGAGGAGAGACGTAGGGACGTGTGGAGCGATGGATTGCTGAGAGATGAGTGCAGCTGAGAGTTGTTGAGGGACGCCTGGATGGAAGGGTTGCTTAGAGAGGATGACAGCCCTGAGAGGACAATAAACAAGACATAATCAGCTTCAGAGTTCAAAAGTTCTTCTTGAACTGCCTTAATGAAACCGAGATAAACCAATAATGGCTTTATGAGTCACTGCGTGCAGGCCGGCTCTAGTCCTGATGTCCACTCCTCAGAGAAGACACTGAGCAATTGTCTGCAGGTTACTAGACCAGTGAGAGCAAGAGAGAAAAGAGCCGTTTATGAGCAGCCAATTCAGGGGTTAAAGGTCATCTGTGTCTCTGGGGATCAGCCAATGAGCGAGCAGCACAGCTGAAACGGGCAGCAGAAACGGCCCAGCACACCCTGTTCCCAGACATGAGAGCGAATGGAAAGAACAAAGCTCAAGAGAATGGAAGTCAAAGAGAGCGATCAGATGGCGGATGGATTTAAAACGGGGGGGCGAGAGAGGAGGAGAGCTGTAGTCTTCTGCATGGATGTGGCCCTTTAGAAAACACATGGCATTCATTCCCCAGAAAGCGCCTACAGTGTGCCATTAAACAAAGACTAAAGTGTTCAGCCAGGCTCTTCTGAAGCCAGGAGATGCTTTAACAGCAAATGAGACTCCTTGAATAAGGATTTGGTCACAAACAAAAGCTCTTTTTATCTTTAGACTGAGCGTGAATGAGATTACGCATGTGCGAAAACCAGCACAAGTATTAATGTGGCTGTTTATGCCGGATATAGTCAACCTAACTGACCTTGTGAATTTCCAATGCCCAGATGCATCATGGCTGCAGGCAGGTTGCCGGTGCTGCTGCCTCCGCTCAGGTTGGGATATCCAACCTCGTCAGGGTCCAGGGGAGTGGGCAACGGAGAGGGGAAGTGCAGGTTACTGAGGTCAGGCAAAGACCCGCCAGTGTTTAACGTGCCCTGGTAGTGAGACAGACCAGCATTCTGCTCCGGAGATGGGAATATACTGCAGAGAAACAGAGGCAGAAAATTTCAGGATGTTTAAATGAACAGCAAATATCAATAAACACACAAACACATGTAAATTTCTCTTGACTAACTTGATTCCAGGCACTTCACAGGACTTTGGCCGAGAGGACAGCGACTGCACCTGCAACCAGGCAACATGTAAATTAAAAGTTCACACTAACCGTAGATGATAAATTTAACAACCTACCATCTACAAATAATCAATTAGTACCACTGAACCAAGACAAAATGGCATAATACTGAAATGAATACTACATTTTCTGTAATCAACAGCACATAGATTTTGTTAAAAGTCATCTTGACATTTGACATGACAAACTGACAATTCCTATTCGTTAACTGAATGTTGCAGTGTTCATGATTTTTGCATGCACATCATTCATTAAAAAAACAAAACAAACAAAAAAAAAGACAAAAACACATTGTGCCATTGAAACATTAAACTATAACAACATATTTTCTCTGATAATGTGTATACTGAAGCAAGGGCTAAGTAATAAGGTATCCAAGTTTCAGTCCCTCCAGTTATGGAGCTAATATTATGACAAAATTATTTGAATTGTGTAAAATTTAATTAATGTTTAATTAATTAGTGTAATCTAACAAAATGTAGTTCGGTATTAGATTTTTTTAAAAAAAAAATATTCGGTATAGTCATATTAACGTTTGAAATTTGACAAATTGAAATGTATTTATGGCTGAATTTTATAGACATGTATTTTCAAACAGCTAGTTTTTTGTCTAAATTCAAATACAGCAAATATTCAGTTACAGATTCTGCATATAAAAAATATAGATTCAAGTTTTCAAAACGAAGAAATTCGGAACTTCAAATTCAGTTTTTTTAAAATTCAAACTCTAAAATTCAGATCTTACAGAAAGTAGGTCACCACGACCAAAGTACCACCACCATGTTCAATCTACTCTTCCCTGTGGATGACCTCTAACATACTTTATGTAAGATCTGAATTTTTGATTTTGAATTTTAGAAAACTGAATTTGAAGTTCCGAATTTCTTCATCTTGAAAACTTGAATCTGTATTTTTTTAAACTGAAGAATTTTCGGATCGGTATTTGAATTTAGAACAACAACAACAAAAAAACTAGCTGTTTTAAAATGCATGTCTATAAATTTCAGCAATAAATACATTTCAATTGGTTAAATTTCAATTTCAGAACTATTTAAACTACCACCTAAAATTACATTTTGTTAGATTACACTTGCAAATAATTCAAACTTACACAATTCAAATTCAAATCATTTTGTCACATTATTAGCTCCATATGAGTAAACTGCCATTAGCAAATTTTAACAATCCAACGATCCAATAACTCCTGATGGACAAAATTACGCATTCACGCTCTACATTTTTCTCTAATTCAAGAATACTTGGATATATGTCACTATAACAGAGAAAAGATAATCACAATTTCTGTTTCATGCACACCTGAAATACTTTATTACTAATTAATAACTACTTCACTGAAATACTTATTAAAAGCGCAAAACATTGAACAGACTAAACAATCTAAGCAAAATACAGAGGTCAATTAAAGCTCTTTTGCCACTCAGAAAGATCTTGAGCGTATAATAGTCAGGTTGGGAAGATTAAGTAAAACACTGGGCAGAAAATCTTTTTGAGATCAAAGCTCTGTTTGGGGGATTTAACTCTTGACATCTGGCAACCCCAAGCATGAAAGCTAGTGTGAGTTTGTTCCCAACACAAGATAAGAGAAATGTCAAATAAGAAAATAGCCCTACAGAGTACGAATTCATTTAAATCAATACTTGATAGCTTTTTTCTAAACAAAATTAATAAATAACTACACTGAGCACAGCTCTTTGTTTTGTTGGTAATAGTGGCCAATGAAATGTATAATACAGTCCAAGCACAGATCTTCTGTTTTGATCAAAAATCCAAATCAGATTATTTATTTATTTATTTATCCACCCAAATAAGTCATTACTCAGTATTACAGACTGTAAAAAATATTTTTTTTAATCAATTTAGCATTTAACATCCCTAGTCTTCATGACATGTACACACCTTTTTGGCCTCCCATAACTGTTTGGGCAGTGGCTTATTCACACCGAGTAGATTGTCCTCATTAGGGACCGCAGGAAATGAGAACACTGAAGAGAAGAAAAAAACACAACAGACCCACAATAAATAACACAAAATTAATCCCTGTTACGATCCTTTGCTGTATGTATATTCACATTGCACCAGTAGTGTTGCTCAAGTCACTAAAATATCACACAACTTAATTACAAAAACAGTATATTAAACAAAACAATAAAAAAAAAAAAAGTAATTTGCATCCTACAACTCACCAACAAAAAAAAAAAAAAGAAAAAAATGAGGGAGATCGTAATCAGCCAATTAGCTTGTAAAATAAATCGGCCCACAAAAATCATGATCATGCTTCACTACTTACCATCTCCAGCATTGTCCACCTCTGCTTCATTCATGCTGGCTGCAAGAGCAAAACACATAAAGAGAAAAAACAATTAGATCAAAGAGCAGTATAATTTTGCATGCACAAATGTCTGTTTCCACAGCTAGGACAACAGAGAATGACAGAAAATATTTGGAGAGAGACATTTCTTTCAGCATTTTAGCATTAATGTAGCTAATTCAACTACTGCTGATGTAACAGACAATATATGAACACAAATCACTTGTGACGTGCATTAACACAAGGTTTTTTACGTCAAACAGATCCTGAAATAAATTGCGTGTCAAATATCTACTTTTTGATTCACAGAACCTACTTTAGGGTGTAACTGTGGTGAATACAAGCACCCTCATACTGATATTTTATATCAGTGTACAAAAAGATTGATTATGTCATTATAGCGTTACATTTATTATTTAAGGGTAAATCCCCTCCATTTTTAAGAAATAACAGAATTTCTTTTTGAGTAATTAGCATAGTGACCTTAAGGCGATCCACATAGACACAGCTCAGACCAGAGCCTCCACAAATTTAAACAAGCATATACAAATAAATAACAAAATCAAAGCTTAAAAAGGTTCTTCCAATATATATCAAATATATACATTTGAAATGAGAAAAGTCAAGTCACAAGTTCATTTAAGCAGATTTGTGCACAATAAATGGACACAAAGATGATGGATGTTCTGTGTTTTCCCTGTTTCTTCCTATGCATCTTATTTTGTTTCTCTGTTACATGTTTGGATTACGCTAAAAATGATTAATAGAACTGAATCACTGGTGACGAAAGAATATATTAACAAGCATCACTAATGACATAAATGATTAACACTTTGACCGAAAAATTTTATGTAAACCAAATGAAATGAATCAGGTTTCCAAACTCCAAGTCTCAAATGAATCACGCCTTGAGAATTCAAAGTAATTAATTATTGCACACAGAACCTTCACTCTCCACTGCTGCCTGGAGTGTAGAAGAAACAGCATTATATACACTACAGTTCAAAAGTTTGGAGTCAGTAAAATGTTTTAAAAGGGGTGGTATAATGCCCTTTTCACAAGATGTAAAATAAATCTCTGATGTCCCCAGAGTGTGTATGTGAAGTTTTAGCTCAACATACCTCACAGATATTTTTTATAGCATATTAAATTTGTCACTTTTTGAGGGTGAGCAAAAACGCATTGTTGTTGTGTCTGTCCCTTTAAATGCAAATGAGCTACTGGCAAAGAGGGCGGAGCTTCAAGAGCTTGTGTTTTTAAACCGGAGTCAGACAAAGATTGACAGACTCAAGAAAAAATTACAACGCAGAATGCAAGAGGACATTTCTGAATGGTTAGTTGATGAATTTATGTAGCTGATGTGGAGTTAGCTTTCTTCTAGTCACTGATTAGCATATTCTGTCTTGATAATCTATAAATCTTGTTGCGGGGGTAAGGTTTATGTAAATTTTAGGGTTAGTGATCTCACTAACCCATGAAGAAGCTCATTGTAGCCCCTACCAGCTGTTTGTTGTATTTCTTAAAGGGATACTCCACCAAAAAATGAAAAGTTCTGTCATCATTTACTCACCCAGAAAGACACACAAAGCAAGATATTTTGAAGAACAATTGGAACTTTGGCACCATTGACTTCCATAGTATTTTTATTTATTTTTTCTACTATGAAGTCAATAGTGCCAAACAACTGTTTGGTTCCAATCGTTTTTCAAAATACCTTCATTTGTGTTCAGCAGAATAAAGAAACTCATACAGGTTGGGTTTTTTTGGGTGGAGTATCCCTTTAAAAAGCAATTTCTGTAAAATAAAATATCTCCCTTTGCTTTGAACTTTGAGCGTTGTAACTTTGTTTATGCTCAAACAACAACATAACTAAAGTTAGAAAAGTAAAGTCGTAATCAACAACTCCTTTAATGTTTTTGAACAAAGTCTCTTATTTTCACAAGTCTGCATTTACTGTATTTGATCAATCATTCTAATCTGCTAATTTGCTGCTCATCACATTTATTATCAATGTTGAAAACAGTTGTACAGTTTCTTCATATTTTTTTTTGTTAAAACAGTGATATTTTTCCAGACCTCAAAGTAAAAAGAACATCATTTATTTGAAATTTCAAATATTATATATATATATATATATATATATATATATATATATATATACAGTATATATAAGTTGCACAGTTCAGATCAGACTGCTAAATACACAAACATTTGATTAATTGAAATGAGTCACTCAGTGCACACTCACTCCACCCATTGAAAATTCGGAGCACAAATTCCAGAAGGGAAAGTAGAAAACAGCTTTTAGAGTGCACTGTCTCTTTAAGGAATCATGGAACCATGAAAGGGAAAGAGAAAGAGGGTAACAAAAAAAATGTATATCGGGAGAAATCTGTGACCACAAGTGCAAAGTGAATCAGTGGAGAGGAGAGGCATTGTTTTCCATACGCCACAGAGATCCTGTGGAAAACAAACCTCCTTTCTACTTCCTCTGCTGATGCTGGCCCAGCACAGATGCAGTGTGGGCCCGAAGCCAGATCAACCAGCTCCGGCACTTCAGCAAAGCTGCCGGTCTCAGACGCCCAACTGCGACGCACAATGAATCAAACAAAAAGTGTCAACACCTCATTTCCCCCTCATTGAGAGTCTCATTCAATGCCATAACTGACAGAAAAAGACAACTAGAACAGAAAAACACTGGCTTGAGTCCAGAGTTCCATCACTTTTATCTTGAAGTGTAAAAGTACCAAAAAAAAAAAAAAAACCCTGCATAGTTCAAGTTAATGTGAAGTAAATTATTTACAATTATGTTATCAAGAATTAACAGTAGTTCTTATTAAAGCCGGTGTCAAATCATAAATCCCAGTAGGGTAAGACTCAAGCGGTTGAATGGATGCTTTTGGGAGCTCCAGATATGAATAGCACAGTTGCATCACACAGTCGAGTTGGCTGGCAGGTTTGGAATGAAACTACTGTGATAGCGGAAGCGAGACAAATTTTTGTCCCATGCGAGAGGCTGGTTTGTACTTGTTCATATTACGTGAGCCTCACTGCACACCTCCACACACTGTCAACTGTCTACATAGCTCAGATGAGCTCGCAGATGCTGTCTGCCATGTCCTTAAATGAAGCAGTTTCTTATCAGATTGAACGGAAGTGTCTCTGTGAAAACAACTGCCCTGGGCCAGAGTTATAGCACTCCATATCTCGGTTTGCTCCACATCTCCACTCATTATCTTTTTAAACCTATTGACTAAACAAGTATGACACACAAAGATGCTTTTATCTTGGATACACAGTGCAGATGTGCTGCAAACTCAAGCCTATATGAGTGCAAATCAATTCATAAAAGAGAAAGCGATAAACAGAAAGAGCGCAATAGAGAGTAAGACAGAACAGGGATGTCACAGATTCAATGTTACATTTTTTGTGACAAAATGCTGATTACCACAGCAAATAATAGACTCATTCTCCAGTCTTATCTAGGTTTTTTTAAAGCAAATTTGCAAAGAAAATGTAAATACATTAGGCAAGACAAATCATTTGTTACTTTAAAGTGTTAGTTCACCGAAAAAAATAATGAAACCTGAGACATTTCTGTATCACCATTGAAATTGCGCAAATGACAATGACACCTTAAAAGGAGATCGTAAAACTAATCCATATGAATTGTGAATTCTGAAGAGGCACAATCACTTCACATGATTGATGAACATTGAATTTAGGCTTTTACTTATCTATAAACATTCATCAACTCTCACATCAGCGTGTTCACTTGATGTGTGAAAACCAATGAGGTTCATTCTCGTGTTACGCCCGTTTGAGTTTCAGCGAGAACCAATGAGGTTCATTCTTGTGTTACGCAGCATGTTTGAGTTTCCTCAAGAATCAATGAGGTTCATTCTCATGTTACGCCCGTTTGAGTTTCCTCAAGAACCAATGAGGTTCATTCTTGTGTTACGCACGTTTGAGTTTCCTCAAGAATCAATGAGGTTCATTCTCGTGGTACACACGTTTTTGTTTCAGCGAGAACCAATGAGGTTCATTCTTATGTTACGCACGTTTGAGTTTCAGCGAGAACCAATGAGGTTCATTCTCGTGTTACGCTTGTTTGAGTTTCAGCGAGAACCAATGAGGTTCATTCTCGTGTTATGCAGAAAGGTTTGAGCTTCTGCAAAAGGGTTGGTTCTCACACGTCAAGCAGGTTCGGTTGAGCTTCTGTTTATGTTCACTAATCAATGTATATATGTGAATAAAAGCCTAAATTCAATCTATTGATTATATAAAGCGATCCTGACTCTTCAGAAAACTTGGACTAAACTGCTCACATGGATTAGTTTTACGATTTCTATATTAACTTCTTTGAAGCGCCAAAGCTGTCAACAGAGGGACAGAAAGCTCTCAGATTTATCAAAAATATCTTCGTGTGTGTTATGAAGATGAGCGAAAGGGTTTGGTATGGCATGAGGGTGAGTAATTAATGACAGAATTTTGGGGTGAACTATCCCTTTAAGTATCGACTAGGGTTTTGAATTGAAAATTGATTCCATTTCTAGAATCACATACTTGTTAAAAATTAGCTTCCGATCAATTCCTGTGTGCCCATTTTAAAATGATTTTAACACATTTAAGCGCAAGAAGACCCAAAATAGAACTCAATTTAGCACTTGTGCCCTAAGACGTCTGATTTTTGTTTTTGCAGTTGCGAGAGAATGTTTTGCAAAAAAAAAAAAACATGCATATGTTTGATATCTAAATAAACTAAATATTTGAAAATGTTTTTCTTAACCATATTGGAATCAAAACGAATCAATAAGAATCAGATTTGCTAAAATTAAAATGGTACTCAAACCTAGAGGTGAAGTATCAAATACTGTTTCATGGTTCAAGCCTCAACTTCATTTCAAGTGAGAATACTGTTCTCAACTGCTATTTATGAGCACTATTCATTTTTAGCACACCTCTAAGCTAAGCATTTATAAACTCATGGTGTACACTACAGTCTCTGGGCTCATGCTGTCCTAGACACCAATGACAGAAACAATGAATCACTGTCTGCTCAACTGACATTTTAGTATGGAGATAAAAGAAAGGATAATTTAATGTATTTTAAAGAAGAAAAAAAGACAGTAAAACAGTCATATTGTGAAATACTATTACAACGCAAAACAACTGTTTTCTATTTCAATATATTTTAAAAGGCAGATGTGCTGCTCAAGAAATATTTCTTGTTATTATCAGTTATAAACGGTTTTGCCAAGTAATATTTTCATGGAAAATATGATTTAATAAAAATCAGGATTGCTTAATGGATAGAAAGTATTTGAAATAAATATTTACTGTACTTTCGATTCAATGAAAACATGGTTCAATAAAAGTGAAGTGCTGATGCAATATCATGAAAAAAAGATTTATCGTATTATTGTATTGGCGCAGCCACAAATGTCTTTGCTAGACTTTGCTGATAAAAAGAAGAAACACTTTCACTGCTAATGCAGAATGGAGTAGATTATCCCGCCCTATGACATAATCCTATAGTCTTACAAACATCTTCACTGCAGTACGTGTGTGTGAACTCTGGCTATCTGTCTTTTTAGGGGTGGATGGGCCAGACTATCTGTAAAGCTCATGTGGATGTACATTCATTAGTTTACGAGAGCTCTAGAAATCACAGAAAAACAAGGGTAGAGGGAACATCCTTTAACAGCACACTGGGCTGGGCTAATTGTCAACCATTTTCAGCATACCATCTGAAATGCCTGCGTTTGTAACCAAGACAACTAGATAAACACCATGACAGTGAGCCCCAGCTGTGTCATGCAAACACGCTGCACCACGGGATCTACGGTTTGATTTGGGTCTGCTATAAATCATTGAATTATCATCCATGCCTGACATTGAGCAATCCACTTGACCCCTGTGCAACTTTGTTTCAACCACGCCGTTATGCCACACAATAACAATGATAGTATACGGTTATGTTGGTATTAAATTGGCTCAAAATTAGTATGTAAACAGGCCTAGAGGGAGGAAGCCGAGCTCACCGTTCCGCTGAGGAGGTCCTCTGCCCATCTGCTGGTTCATGCCAAAAGGATCCTGTGGGTTTGGACTCATGGCGCTGGTGTGCAGAGCTGAGTCAGAGTTTGTTCTGTGGGAGAAGGGAAGGATGGAGGAAAAACGAAACAGCTCGGTCAGTGAGCCATCATTAAAAAAATAATAATAATTGCTGAGCCAAGCCATGGCCACATGAACCTTTGCCCTCGCCCACTGCCTTTATTAACCAACTATACATGACGGCACTCTCAAGAGCACTTCACTGTCCTCCAGAGCCTCTCTTTGCTTTACATCCTTTATCAGGTCTGGTCATTAAACCAGGTGACATTGAAAAAGAAAACACCTGTTTTAGTGCTGTTTTTTGTAAGGGTGCAGTCACTCTACATCACAATCATGAGTGTGGTGATGGAGAAAGACAAAAAAACAAACAGATTAGTAGAAATAATGATCCCTGGTTTGGATTAGTTTGGTACAGTGAAATATTAGTGTACAGAGAATCAGTAGTCGGCATCTGTGATTTTCTTGAAATTATTCTGTTTGTATGAAGACTCGATAAAGAAACAGATTTGATCCAAAACACAAGAACGAGAATGAGCCGAGAAGGACATCTGCAGGAGATGACAATGAGGAAAAAAACAAATAAGACAGGTCCAGAGGAGATCTGTGAGAGGAATTTGAAAGTCAAAGGTCACCTGTTAAGCTGCGATATTAATCTAAATCCAGGTCGTTTCTCTTCAGTCCATGGCAGTTGCTCCCTTTAGAAATGGAAACAGTCACGTGTTACTCACTACTGTACTGAACCTGTAGCCCTGGCTCAGGGGTTAGTACAGCAGGATGAGCAAGCAAGAGACAAAGACAAGAAGAGAGCGAGCAGGGTGAAAATTTCTCTGTGACACCTTCAGGAAAACATAAAGAGAGTGGTAGAAATCAGAGCCTATTCCCCCAGGTTAGTCTAATGCGGTGTGCAGCACTGATTTACTGCTTCAATTAGATTGGATCTGCTACCTCTGAGAGCAAACAAAAGTGCTATAATAGCTTTAATGGTTAATGAAAGAAACACGAAGGCAACACTGCAGCAGAGCAACCACACCGGGAAATCAGGATACAGACTAAACCAAATAAACAAATGCATCTTACTGGCCACAAACGCAATCAACACATATAAAAACCGTAATCTTTTCGACAGCCATGCAATTCAGGGACAAAAAGCAAAGGCTCTGTGACCTTAAAGATTGTGGTTTGTGACGAGGACAGAGAAAGGGTTTCTTTTTTAGGTCAAAATCCGAATAGCATGGGTTCGATTTCCAGGGAACATACATACTGTACCGTTAAATGAACTATCGTTCAAATGTTTTGGGTCTGTAACGTTACTTTTTTTTTGTATTCAGATTTTAAACTGATCAAAAATGACAACAATTTAAATATAATAATAATAATTCGATTTCAAATAAATGTTCTTCTTTTGAACTTTATATGAATTAAAATAAACTAAAAACAAAGTTTCCACAAAAAATATTAAGCAGAACAACAAAAATATTATATCAATAATAATAATAAGACTTTTCTTGAGCATAAAATCTGCTGAAGGATTTCTGAAGGATCATGTGACACTGAAGACTGGAGTAATAATGTTGAAAATTCAGCTTTGCATCTCAGGGAATAAATTACATTTTACAATTATATTCAAATAGAAAACAATATTTTTTTAATGATTATTTAATAATATTATTCTTTTTTTTTGGTCAAACAAATGCAGGTTTGGTGAACATTTGAACGGTAGTGTATATAAAGCAAAATTTTTATTTCTTTATAACTGTAACTGCTTATCAAAGCAGCCATTGATATCATAACTCAGCGGTGCCATTACTCACGGCGAGTGCAAGACATGAACGTATAATGATTCACGTTCGCCCGTATAGATGCGCAACAAGTCCAGCAGATGTAGCCTGTGGTTCCCACTAACAGGGTTAACATATTCCTATCACTAAGACAATACAGAGAAATAATAAACAGATTTCCTGCAGCCCGCTCTGCTGCTAAGGAGATGCTACAGTATGCCAGACCACACTAGGGTGATGTAATGCTTAAGGGAAATAAAGATACTCATTGTGACAACAGAAAGTGGCCTTCTTTCTAATGATTCTGTAAAGCAGGTCTGTTCCCCTTGCGTTGAAGTGCGTTAGGGCTTAGCTGAACATGCCATAAGAAGCACTAAAGTCAGTGTCCATCGACCACCCATGCTGAAGATGTCTGTGAAGTTTAAAACTTAAAATAGAAGAGTTTAAAGGCAGCAGTATATGGCATAAATAGAAATGCACCAGAAAGTCTTACGGCTTTGTAAACAGCTTGTTATTTAAATCTGACCCTTGATCACAAACGACGTGAAAAGCAGATGTTTTCAAACTGGCATCAGGCAGACCACCAAAAACGGAGGGATTTTTTTCAATGGAAGCCCATTGCTGTTGGATCACACTTGAATGCCTTTCTAGAAAACCTCCCGAAGGAAGTCTTGTCTGGGAAGAGCAGAGGTTCAGATCCAGGATGGGAGAGCGTGGGACTAAGTGAACAGCGCTGACCCAAGTTCCTGACCCACTCCAGCTGAACTCCATAGGGAAACATATGGATGTTGTCTAGGATTCAGAACCAGCCCGCGTTTACCCAGACACCAGAGGGACAGCTGTACCCAGGGGAGAACTGAGCCTGAAAGTATCATAGTAGCGCTGTCGCCCCTACGGATGCAACTGAGCTCTGGGGCACACTAAAACACAGAGATTCAAACTGTACACAACATTAACGTTAGTTCAGGAAGGGTCACACAATGTTTATCTAGACCTGAGAATATGTTGGGTCAAAAAATAACCAAAGAAAAATGTGTTAGGAATGGACGATAAAAATCTCCAAAACACTTTATTATTAATGTTACAGAATTAGGCTCTATCTCTTCTCTACTATTTCGATGCCAACAAAATCTTTTTATTGGCAACATGCTACCTCAGTCCTCTTACATTTCCTTTTCTGGTGATAGAACTGAGAGGCCTGTGAACTGACCACAAAACACATCCGCCACCCATACATCAGGTTATTTTGTGATAAAGCGACAGAAATCTGCACTGGTTGGACCAAGTTGTGTGGTGAAGGGAAAGGAAGGGTTAATGAGCTGAGGCTGACGCCTTTTTCAGCTCATTAACCCTTAACCAGTGTGTGCTGCATAAGGTAATGCATCACAGATGTGTTGAGAGAACTGTAAACAGTTCCTCGAGGGCATACGTTAGGATGGGCCTCCCAGTAAATCAGGACCATCATCCTCTGCTGACCAAACACCTGCCCACTGGACTGCTAAACTAATAGAGAACCATGACCAATCCCCTACAGACTACTCATACTAGCACCCAATGCTCATTTACGGACTATTAAATGTAGGGGGTTGGGGCCCACAAGGGGGGCAAAGGATAACTTAAAATTAATTAAGGCTGTGTTTACACGGAAACGATTCTGAAGAGAAAACGCAAAAGTGGCGTTGCGTTACCACTTTTTATTTTGCGTTTAGACGAGCATTTTGGGTGGGAAATCCGCATGCATAAGGTGACGCAAAAATGTGTGAAATTCAATGTAGTGTGCACTCCAGGTGGCTAGGTGGCAATGTGGAGCACTGCCACACAACAACACCAAGTCCACGCGCCTGTGTACAACCTTCACTGACAAGCAGACTTTTGCTTTTTTACACGGGAACGCCGCGGTGGAGCGTTTTTAAGATTTCCACTCGGGAGGGTAGTTTCACCTATTTGCATTTTTAAGCCCCCAAAATGTGGTCGCCGTGTAAACGAAAGGCATATCTGATAAAATATATTTACGTTTTCACCCACGAGCATTCTCGTGTAAACAGGGTCAAAAATAAGACAAAACAAGCATTAAGCAGAAAATAAATGAGCAAGTCAAGTAAATAAAATTGAGAAATTATTGGCATTTTAAAAATATGGAATTGTTTTATGATGCCTTTATTAACTCATTTTTAGTTATTGTTTTAATGGAGAGACTGAGACCTCTCAGGTTTCTTAAAAAATATCTTCATTTGAGTTTCAAATATTAGCTAGTTTTATGGGTATGAAATGACATGGATGGGTGAGCAAATAATGATATAAATGTCATGTTTGGGTGAGCTATCCCTCTAAGAATAAAAGACGTTTGATCCCAAATTTACGTTCTGCTACTGAGTGACAGTTTAATTTAGATAAAATTAGCAACCATTACCCAGGCTTTTTGTCTATTTGATTAAAACGTTGACATTGTTGTTGACTAATTGACAAAGGTTGACAGCCTCAGAAAATAAAGCTCATATAATTAGTTTGACCTCATGGGGAAGTTTTTTGAAGGTAAAACACATCACCTAACAGGAAGGTCAATCATTTCAGGCCCTAATTTGTACCCTTCACATGGAAATTCCCACTGAACTTTCACAAACATTGCTCTATAACCATAATCACTGATTTGTTGCCAACTGGCCTCGATCCCTCCCTTAAGCAGAACTCCTCCCTTCTCTTTACATGAGTTAAAGAACCACAAACATCCAAGCAAACATCCCTTTTACAACTACACAAACCAAACACTAGTAAATCTGCTGATTTTCTGTGACGTGTCACACTGTCAAGACCAAAAAAAAAAAAAAAAACAGCAGACATCACAAACAAAACATGTGTTGTTAAAAATGCCAAAAACCATTTGCAATCACTCTCTGACTCGTCCTAAACCAAGCTAAAGCTTAAATGTCCACACACAGACAGAAAACATCTGTTCGGTCCTTCTTTTAATCACGTGAGGAGATATTACAGCGCAAGATCCCAACATAAAAAAAAGAGAGAGCAGAACACTCTCTATTATGTGTGCAAGGTCAAACGGGCAAAGCGGAATAAAACAAAAACCAAACCAAAACATGTACAATGGTTTTTAGCAAATGCTAATCTGGTCCAGAGTAAAAAGGGAGGGGGGCGTACACACGCTGAGGTCACGATCTGTTCTGGGGGAGGGCGGCTCTGAGGGGTAGCTAGCAAAAGATCTGGCAGGTTTAGTTAGTGCTGTTTACACTGAGAAAAGATTTAAAGAATAGGTGAACATTCATCCTTGAGGAAGAAAAAAAAAAAACACTGTTAGAATCAGAGAGAAATGCTGTGGTTAGTATTCAGCCTTGACAACACTCCTGAAGACGAGAAGAAAACTGGATGTAATTCAAACAAAAAGTCAATGTACAATTTTCTGAAGAATAAGAAGATCTAACTGTGCTTGATCCACTGAATCCTATGTTTCATAATTCATGGGATGCCTCTGAGACATCCCTTGAAGTGGAGTGAAGCGCTCACGGTTTATGCATTTATAATGAAGCTCTAAAGTTTGCCTAAGATCATATATTCAGCTAAACTCCGCATGAGGGTTCATCTTCCGCTTCCCCCATCTGTGCTGCTTTGCACAACAACAACATATATGATGCAATGCGGTCAGTGTTTGAACTGTCATACAATTTCACATTTCCAACTAAAAGCAATAATATAAAGCCCTGTATCCCGTATTGCATGTGATCCACTCTACGGCATATGGCTGTCACAGCAGTGTTTCGCCACAGTGGGAACAGAAGGCCGCGCTAAAGCTGATCAGGCCAACCAGTTTTCAGGTGTAAACAATGCCACAGGGCGTAGACTCTGAAAGTTTTACAAGTCGCAGAGTCAACATGGAGGACGAGGCAGCTTGCTGGTAAGAAGGTACGCTGGCCGTCGGCCAAGCCTGCATTCAAAACACGACTCTGATGAGGAGAAGCTTCCTTAAGCCTTTTATTACTGGCTGCAATTCACTCCTCGGTAAACAAATGAGGAAAAAAAACGTCCAATGGTTACACCTCACTGGGGCTGAACCCAGAAGAGTGACATTTGTGCAGAGCAAACGTGAGCATTTGTTCTCAGAAAACGGACTTCTAATCACCCAGAGAGTCGAGAATGACACAACGATGTGCGTAGTTCTCTTTGAACACCTCTGTTTTGTTTTTATCTAACCTTTTACTGGTGTTATCTATCATTGCTGCGGATGCGGATTTTCCACATGCTGAAAAAAAAAAATACATGTCATCGTTACTGTTTTCTTTTCAGGCATCTGTGGGTATAGCCTATGTAAATGTGAAACATGCATTAACGCTCCCTCAAACGTGACTTGATCTCTCTTGTAACGCCGCTTGATGTCACTAAGTTGGCATAATTTCAAGATAACATCATCTTTGCACTCTGCCCTACAGCTAACAGAAGATATGATCAAATTCTACATGACGTATAATGTAACAGTGTATGTCACGCATGACCGGACACCTATTTGTTGGCATGGATGGGTGTGTAGGGCTATATCGGTCCTTATAGTTAGAAGAGGAGGTATCTTTCCTGTAGTTCAACCGTCGTAGCTCCTGTAGCTAGAAACGGTAAAGTCCAGGGTTGGATTCCCGGGGAAAGCAAGAACTGATGCATTCTTTTTGTTGTTGTTAAATGTAACTTGAATGCAATGTAAGTGGCTTTGGGTAAAAACGTCTACCATATGCATAAATGTAATGTAAATAAATGAGGACTCACCTTCTCCAGCTGTTGTCAGGGGGAGGAGAAAGGTACATCGTTCCATATGGAGAACTCTCAGCGTAGTTCAGTCAAGGAAAGTCTCCAAAGTTTTCACAGCCAAATGTCAAAATCTGTCTAGTTGATTTTTTTACATCATTTTTAGCAATGTACTGTCTTTTTTATATTTGAAAGAAATATTATTTTGAAACTTTTCTTACAGTGTTGTTACTTCACAAAATGAAAATGTGCAACAACTATAGATTAAAGGGTTAGTTCACCCAAAAATGAAAATTCTGTCAGTATTTACTCACCCTCATGTTGTTCCATCCCCGTAAGACCTTCGTTCATCTTCCGAACACAAATTAAGATATTTAAGATATTAAGATCGCTCCTGCACACTAGTCCATAGGCTTCTTGAGGGACTGGCTCTTGCTGTCCCCGAAAAGTCATTAAAGACATCGTTAAAATAGTCCAAGTGACTACAGGGGCTCAATCTTAAGTTTATCAAACGACGAGAACACTTTTTGTGCACAAAAATAACAACAAAAATAACGACTTTATTTCAACTATTCGTTTATTTCTCCCTCTGCCTCGAGTCAGGTTACTAGTTTAATAGCGTAAGCTTCTGTTATTGTACGTCACACGCATCACAAACACATGACCAGCGTCGGCCAATAGTGAGCCTACGTGTGACGTAGCTCTACGCAATCACACTACGTTAACTGACTTACAGGCTCATGGAGAAGGAAGTGAATAGTTGAAATAAAGTTGTTATTTTTGTGCACAAAAGTGTTCTCGTCGTTTGATAAACTTAAGATTGAGCCCCTGTAGTCACTTGGACTATTTTAACGATGTCTTTAATGACTTTTCGGGGACAGCAAGAGCCAGTCCCTCAAGAAGCCTATGGACTGTATGCAGGAGCGATCTTAATATCTTAAATATCTTAATTTGTGTTCCGAAGATGAACGAAGGTCTTACGGGGTTGGAACAACATGAGGGTGAGTAAATACTGACAGAATTTTCATTTTTGGGTGAACTAACCCTTTAAACATGTATAAATGTAACTCAAATTCTTTGTTAGAAAACAATCTTAAAGTCCTCTTGCAATTTGAACAAAACAGCATATCTGTTAACCAGTGAGAAAACAATATATTTTAACAAATCAGAGGAATACTTCACAGAACTTAATATTTATTTCAACAACTTTGCAAGGCACCAAAATGGCTGTTCAAGATCAACAAATGTGTATGATTTTCAGGGGCATGTCAACTGGATTAAAACCCTCTCATAAAGTTTGCCAAAGATTTGAAAGGATAGTTCATCCCAAAATTAAAATTTGGTTCTCATCCAAACCAAACCAATTCTTTGAAATATCTTCTTTTGAGTTTTGCAGAAAAGTAATACAAGTTTGGAACAACATGAGGAGTAAATGACGACAAAATTTTCATTTTGGGATCAACTATCCATTTAAAGCGTCTGCTGTTTAAAGTTTGACGAAACAGAAATAGACAAACCATCCATATTATGATGTACATCAGAGTTTACTGGAGTACTGAAAAAAATGCCAAGCAGGAAAGCAGGGTTTATTCTGTCTGTCGTTTTGATTGAGCTATGACATTTTGATTTGATTTTAAATATTACAAGGCCAAAAAAGAGAGATCCATAAATAGATGAATGTTTTACAATAAGATCTATAACATGTCACAAGGTCCATTAGTGTTGTCATGATACTGGAATTTCTAACTTTGACGTGATCCCTTGAAACATAACAATTTTCTATACTATTTTCAAAACCAAGGGGAAAACAACATCTCCTTCTAATAAATTGTAATAGCTTACACACAGCACAGGGAGGTTTTATTTAAAACTTTAAACTAAAGTAAACTGTCAGTAATGAAACAAGAACCAACAACCTAATTGCAAATGATGGCACAAATAACTACAATAGAATAAAGAGACAATGAAATAAACATGGCTTTAAGCTTTCAGGTGGGTCTAACAGTAGTATTCAGGTAAGAAATACAACCGAAATGAAATAATCAAATGTGAAATAACATTGGATAGTCTGCATTGTAAAAAAATGAAATACAGATTACCAATGAGTTGTTTGAGAGGCGGCTTTATGTGCACCTCTTAGATCAGTGGGGCGAACACTTTTGGTGTGAGTGAGAAACCTCCGGAAATAAGGTAAAATTTATTTGCAATACCCACAACCCAATGGAGAAATTCAGAACACTCAACACAACTGGAGCGAATGAGACAAGAAAATGAGATTATGGTGTCAATTTGCTGTTAGAAAGTAGAGGGAGCGAGAACACACAGCTGGTATCGGTGTATCAACACCGCAGAAGAGGAGTATCGGAACTGTTTCAGATATTTCAATATCGATACATAATCGAAATAGATATTTTTGACAACACTAGAATCCATCAGACTTTCTCCTTGTTACCTCAATGTCTCTGAAAAACCAGGTAGGCACACTTGTCAAGCTGTTTTTTTAAAGCTTTGATTCAATAGATGCTCTGCAGACTGAAGAAGTGTTGAGTTCAAAAAGTTAGGGCCGGTTCACACAGAATGCGTTTTTGACAGCAGGACAGTGGAACCAAAGAAGCGCAAGGTCTAGAAATGCGTTTTTAAAGGTTGAACTTATATGAACTTGAGTTTGTTTTTAGAATGCAAAGACACTGCAAAAGATGCGAGAAGCGAGCAAACTGGTTAAAGATGTCCGTCTAGTGTGTTGTTTTGCATTGAAAAACAATAGAAAAGTAGCACAGTGGAATTGAAACACATTCTGTGTGAACGGCCCCTTACATAACGTTTTCATATTACAATAAACTTTTCTCATTTGATTTCTCATGATATGACCCCTTTAAAAAGTACATTTGCTGGCCGAACCAACTCAAGACTATCACAAAAGTTACAGGAATTATGGGAGAGAAAATAGCCCAGCTGAAGAACTCCTTGAGTAAACACGGTTACTTCAACTCAGACCGATGTTGACAATGCTGCCTCGTCATGTCCATCTGTGCCAAAACTCTCACATCCAAATGGGGGGAGGGGTGGATTTACAAGAAAGAAAGGAGGAGAGAGTCTTTTTCTGTTCAACATCTGCACCGGCCTGAAAAATACAGCCATCAGTTATGTTGCAGTAATGAGAGACTGAGCTCTTCATGCCAACTCTTCAACCACCAGCCCGCCCCGTGACCCAAACCATGACACAACACAGCACAACCAACCAATGAGCAAGCAAAGCCAGGCCACAGTAAAACCATTTTAGACCACTTCATAGTTAAGACTGTATGTTATACCCCATATCATTTGTATGAAATCCCTGGCGTGACTGTGTAAATACTGTTGACGATGCTCAGCCTGGGGAGAGCGATGATGACATAAGCCAGGCGGCTTGGATTTACGAGGGATCCTTCCTAAGATCTAATTAGCCTGTGGCTGCTGAAGCGGTGTGGAGAGGCAGGGTGGCTGTGACAGCACCTTCGTCTCAGAAGCTCCGGGATGGCGTGGGTGAGCTAACCTTTCTCTCTGACATTTCACACTCGACCCACACCGCTCGCCCTCCGATAGGACATGATTCCAGATACAGACAAAGCCAAATCAAGGCATCTGGCCTGATATATGCGGCTTGAAGGCAACTACATGGGTTAGGAGGAAGTTGGACAACGTTAGGTTGGCTGGCGAGCCTGTGTGAGAGAGTCTAATCTTGGCAGACATGGTTGAATCGATGGGAGCAAAACAAGCCAACACTGTGAGGGACATCTGGCACTAAAGGAAAAAAAAAAAATCTAAGTGAAAGCAAAATTAGGCTTTGAATCCTCCATCATTTTCTCTCACTAAGCAGAATTAGAGTGGCATGAAAATGAAATGCTTTAGACATTAACAGAAAAGCCTTGTGGGTGAATGTTTGTTTAGAGTGTCTCTGTTTATTTCGATTAGATGCAGAGTGTAGTTCTGAATATAAGAAGATTTAAAAATCGTTTTTCATTTTAAAGGAAATGTGAGTGGCGTATGGCTGTGAAAAACATGACATCATAATGACAGGGTGTTGTAGGTGGTTTCCAAGACCATCAGTATTATTTTAGTATTATTAATGATATGCTACTATAGCAATTGTTAATACTTTGAATTAATTTTTTTTTTTCTCATAATTATATTTGTTTCATTTAAACTTTATTTCAAGTACACACCGATTGTGCCTCGGCACGGCTCAGTGTGGATGAATACAATGTTTTGGGGAGACTTTGAGGCTGTGAGACATTGGATTCATCCACACTAAGCCATGCCGAGGCACAACCCACGTAAAGTTAATAATTCCGTGAATAACTGCAATTGCAAAAAACAGAAATGGAGACAAACAGGAAAAACTTCGGACAGCAGCTTTAGGGAAAGGTATGATTCATTATAATATACATTATGAAGACCATTATAATTTATTTTATAAAACGGTTAGTTCGAATCCTTGATTCTGATTGGTCAAGAGCTGTGCTTTATTCATGATAAAACACGGATGACCGCTTCACCCAACGGTTCTATTGATCACTGTGCAACACTGCAGTTCTATGTTGTTTTTATTTGAGCTTTCATGCATTTTACAAATTGGAACGTTGTTGCTGTTCACAATCAGGGACTATTTTTTCTAGCGGAAGGAAGGCTTTTAGTGATTTTACTTCAAGAAAGTTGCACTAATACATTGTTTTTTACTTTAATATTGTGTGGCAACCGTTTTATAAAAGCAATAAGGTATTCGAGGCAAGTGCTGTATCGTGAATAAGTAACGGCTCCGCTTCGCGTCGTGCCTAACAACGCCCTTCGGCCGTTACTTATTCATGATACAGCACAGCCTCTCGTACCTTATTACTTACATAATGACCACAATACTAAGACCAAAATAGGAGAAAGAGCGGCATCTGCATCTGCACTTGAAAGATCATTTAGTCTCACTTCTTAATAAAGATGATTGTGTTTTGGGTTTCATTTGCGGCAGTCTGTGCATTGACTTGATGGAGAGATACTCAGCTCCTTATCTGAGCCGATGCGTGTTGCAGTAACGCTGTCATATCTGGCTATA